AAAAGAAAGGAATATATACTAATAAGAAAAAAAAAAAGAAAAACAAAGAAAAAGAAAAAGAGAAACGAACTATCATAATAACAACAACAACAATGCACATATAGCATATACGGGAGATTGGAAATACATTCATACTACCACACCAGAGATGTACCCCCTCTTTTTTTTTTTTTTTTTTCTCTCCATCAATTATTCACATACTCACCATTTTTTTTTTCTTTTTTTTTTTTTTCTGTTCTTTTCCCTACACTCCCCCTTTACCAACACACACACACACTTCTCTCTCACTCACCCTTTTTTCTTTTTTTTATGTTTTTTTTTTTCTATTTTTTAAGTTCCCTCTATTTTCATCATCACAGAGAAAGATAATAATAATAATAATAATAATAATAATAATAATAATAATAATAATAATAATAATAATAATAATAAAAGAGGGATTTAACTCTTCCCAAAGAAAAGATGATGAAAAACAAACAATAACCACCACAACCACAGCACGAACAAACCACCAACCTCTTTCCCTCACGAAACCAGAGAACGTAGAGAGAATAAATAAAGAAAAAGAGCCTCAAAAAAAGACAGACATCACGCCAAATAGTAACCACTACCATCACAATAAGAAGAGCAACAAGAAATAAAATATAAATAAAAAAAAAAAAAAAACACAAAAAACACCAAAATAGGGGGAAAAAAAAGAAAAAAGAAAACTCTATCATCAAGCAATTCTCTGCTTCTTGGCAATTCATTGAGGGTATCCCCCTGACCAAACTTCCCGAAGAGAAACAAAAAGAAAAGTGACACCAAAACAACTGCAACTGCAACTGCAACCGCAACAACTAATAATAATAATAATAATAATAATAATAATAATAATAATAATAATAATAAGAGATATTTATTTCAAGTCATGAACAACAGATGACTGTCAGCCATTTTCTTATTCTCAAATATCTTCTCTCTTGTTTTCCAATTTTTTGTCTCTTTATCTTCCTTTTTTCCTCATATTCATAAACACAAAAACCCATATATATATAGATAGATAGATAGATAAACACAACCTTCTCTTAAGGTCTTTCAATTCTCTGCATTTGCAACTGGCACGGCTTCGCTACAAGTAATACTCCCCTTCATGGGATCAAACTCAAAACTGATAGCGGATCCATCGCAAGTTACACAATAAAGTGTCATCGCCTCTGATGTTCCCATTGTCGGAAGTAAAGTATCGTGTGGTCCATCGCGATTGCGGAGAGCGGCACTGGTCATGTAATCCACATGTCTATAAGCCGGTCTTTCCCACCAGACCACCAATGCCTGTGCCACCTCTGTCATGGTGGAGTAATCTCGCTCATTATTAATATTATTATTATTATTATTATTATTATTATTATTACCACCTTTAACTCCACTCACAGGATCTGTTTTCTTTTCTCCCGCAGTACCCGATAGATTCATCATACCGGTATTGATTTCATTTTCACTGCCGCTCCAATATCGCCTTGCCACTCGAGTGGCCGTCTCCATCACGGGAGCCACCGGCAGTGAGAGATATTGCCGTAAATATCCACCCCAGTATTTTCTGCTGCTCACACCAGTAGAGACATTATTTAAAGAGGAGGCGGCTAACACATCCTGCGGGGTCTCTTCGGAAGCTGTACTCTCTCGAGATGATGAGGAGGAAGGGTGGTGAGGATGAGGATGATGATGAGGAGGATTGACAATTCCAACTTCAGATGTTTCTCGAGAGAAATCATTTGATTTCTTACGAGAAGATACACCACGCAAAAGATGTTGGCGTAATTCCATAGTAGCGGCGTGAACCCACTTTGGAAGAAAGACTTCGTCCAGTAATGGCAATGGACACTCACAGGCGGCCCATTCCGAGTTAAAGTATCCAGATACCATACCAAGACGATAGAGAGAGGAGTGAATATTCTGAGCTCGCATACATTTACTTTGATCCCTTATACTCACATCATATGGTTTAGGTTCCTCCACTTCACCAATAAAGAATACTTTGATGGTATTCCACGCAATACAAAAAAGGAAATTATCTCCAAGAAATTGTAATTGAAATATGGGTGTTGGAAGGGTTGCATTGCGAACTTCTTTTACCTTTACAAAATAACCTGGAAGATGGTTTTCATTAGAAGTATTATTATTATTATTATTATTATTATCATTATTATTAGGATGGGTATCCTTATTTGCTGCCGAGTGAACCTCAGCATCAGCAATTCCACTGCAAGATAACGTTTCTGGTTTTTCACAATTTTCACAATACCGCCAGATACGTATAAGTGTTGCATGTTCACTGCTTGTTGCAATCAATACATTCCTGCAACCATAACCAGTATTCGTTGCAACTGTATTCGTAGAAGTGATAGAAGAAAGAAGCTTACTGTTATTATCATTCCTATTGCTACCACAATTGCTTACAAATTCATTACCAATATACATCGCCAAAGAGGCAACTGTGTGCTCATGGGCATCAGGAACCGTTGCCAGTAATTCCGTCTTTATTCGACTGCAGAGGGATGAGTCTGTATCATACCGCACCAGACTAAACCCACGTAATGAACTTCGAAAGACAAGATATTTATTATTGTAATCCACAGCTAGCGGCACAGAAGAACGTAAGGCGGCAGCCGAAACCGTAGAGACTCCAGTAGACGCATCTATGGTACTACCAACCGTATTCATACTATTCTCATGTATATAATGATTACTGTTATTTTGAAATAACACAGTAGAGGCAAGTGGAGCAGCTGTACCAAGCATAGATGGAATAGAAGCTGCGAGACCACCACTTGTGGAAATGTTCTCATTATTTACTGGCAGTGCAAACACACATTGTCCAGTCTCAAAACTATGCAATCGCAGTTGTGCGGTGGTGAGAATAATCATTAGACGATGATCCAAATGAAGTCCCTGCACAATATCCGGTACTCGCACCGTACGGTCTGCCCAGAGACTCCCAAGAACGAAGAGTTTCACAACATTGCGGGGACCAACGGGATACGGACCGCCGCCCACAACCGCAACAAAATGAGTTTTGTAAAGTAATGCCATTACACCAACTCCACTCTCACGGGGTGCGAGAACTGGACATTCTCTCTCTTCTTCTTCTTCTGCTTCTATTCCTTCTTCTAGTCCTTTCCGCTTCTGTTGATCTGTATAGGAGATCGTTGCGGTGTGGGTATGAGTGGAGTTATCGGAGAAGCGAGCCGCGGAAAATCCTCCAGTGTCTATTTCAATCTCTGAGAGATGTGCCTCTCCTTCATTTTTTATTTCCTTCTTCTTATCAGATTCACATGCCTCTTCTTTTTCCCTTTCCATCCCTTCTACCTCTTTTTCTTCATTTTCTTCTTTTTCCTTTTCCTCCTGTTGAAAGGCATTTGCCATAAATCCAAGCAACCGTTCCGTTGACTTCTCTTGAATGCATTCCGTCAAACAAATATTGGACGCCTCCACACTCCGCCGTTCCTCTTCAGTGTTGTGGTCTTCTGCAGATGCGACTGGGACTTCCCACACAACGGGAGATGTACTCGTGGTGGTACACCGCGGTGGAAAGACCGCCTCCACAGTTGTGTAGAAAGGCGGTTTTGCAGTAGTAGTAGTATTAGTAGTATTAGTAGAAGTTTGTCCTCCTCCTCCTCCACTCGTACCGGTATTTGTATTTGTAGTAACAGTAATATTCGTACTAGGCATCATACTAGCAGTAGTAGTAGTATTATTACTATTACTATTAGTTTTAGTCGTTGTAGTTGTAGTAGTAATAATAGGAGTAGTAGGAGTATTGCGGTGAATACGGTAGATGACGTATCCATTATGATGGCCCACGCCAACACGTGAATAGTCTTGATTAAAGCAGAGACAGAGTGGCTGCAGGATTTCCTCCGCATCATCCAAGAGATCAAAGTCCATCATTATGAATACAAGAATCACAGTAATAGAAATAAAAGCAAGTCTATTTTATTTTTTATTTTTTATAATGTGATGCGGTGATGAGAACAATAAAAAACACACACAAACACACACGAACAAAAAAAAGTTTTTTTTTCTTTTGTTTTTATTTTGATGTGTTTCTTCTCTCAGAGCACACCGTAATAATAATAAAAAAACACACCAGAGAGTGATGATAGGCAGTCACACCAAAATACGCAATCGCCTACTGAAAAAACAAATGAGAAAAGAAAAGACTATTATTTATAACAATAGTAATAGTGGTAATACTGTAGAAGAGGTAGGTAGGTAGGTAGGTGGGAGGGGAATTGCAAATATGAAGTTGGATAAAGAAAGAAAGAAAGAAAGAAAAAGTAGAAATGATAGAAATGAGGGGGAGGAGTATACACAAGAGAAAAGTCCTGACTACTTTTCTTTAAGGTGTACTCTTTTTGTTTTTGTTCTTCTCCTTGTTCTCTAACTAAAACTACTCGATTCTGTGTTAATCGGTGATAATGATGAGAGGGATTGATAGAAAGAAAATAGAGTAATATATGTCCTTCTTGGGTGCTTTAAAGAGAGAAAAAAAAAAGAAGAAATAAGAAAAGACATTAAGAAGAAATAAGAAATAATAATAATAATAATAATAATAATAATAAACACAACAAGTGAAAGAAAGTGAGAGAGAGAGAGTGTGTGTGTGAGAGAGAATTTGTAAACACAATTGTATTTGAAAGGGAAAAATAAATCCTTCCATTCATTCCCAATGGAAAATGCTAGTATCCCAGTAGAAGAGATACAATTGACTTCTACTCTTGAGTTCAAAGGCGATAGAGAAGCAAAAAAAAAAAAAAAATGTTTTCGTTTTTTCTCTTTTTTCCACTATTAAGGTTAAAACATAAATAAAATAACGGGAAATAATAATAAAAAATACATATATATATATAATCAAGAAACCTCTGTGAATGAATAACAACACCATCAACCAAAAACAGTATCCGCAGGCATTAATAATAGTAATAATAATAATAATAATAATATTAGTAATAATAAAAGGAAATGGAATAAAGAAAACATCATCCCATGATTCCCATCTCTTAGAATGGCCCTGGTTTACTTGTAGTAGATGCCGAGTTCGCGGCCTGTTGTATATATGCCATTAATTCCCCATCATCACGTGCCGCTGCTGCCGTCCACGGTGTTCCCTTCCGCACCATCTGTTCACCCAAATACCAGAGAGCATAACACCGCCGTAATCGTTGTTCCTCTGTTAGTGTGATATCCTGCAGAACACTCTGTGCGGAGTAGCGGAGAATCACACTCATATCCGCCACCACCGCATCAAACTCCATACTAAAGTATTCCATCATAACTTTCTGAGCAAGCCATTCTTTGTTTTTCGCACGGTCATCTATTTTTTCACGAAATGCTGCATAGACACGATCTACACCTGAAAAGATTTTCTTATACACATGTAGTTTCGGGGCGTAAAATGGCTGAATTCCGAGAAATCGCTGACTAGAGATAATGTACGATTGACCCACAGTATACATTAACTCTCGCCCAAAACATGCTTCTGATAGTCGGCGTGTATATCGATCACATCGCTCTTCAAAGTCTCGTGAGAACATATTGTACGCATTACTTCCAGGTGTTAATACAAATGGGGAAGAAGAAGAAGAAGAGGAGGAGGCATCTGATCCAACAGTTCCTCCTCCTCCTCCTGTTGTTGTTGTTGTTGTTGTTGTTGTTGTTGTTGTTGTTGTTGTTGTTGAGATATGCGATTTTCGCTTTGCTGTCGCCCCATTACCGCTACCGTTATTCACACCGAGAGAATCCATCAAACTACACACACTTTCCGTACGTGCCCGACCACCCCGCTGTTGATCCTGTTGTGGATGTTTTCTATAATAATGGCCTTGCATGCCGGTGGCGTTTGCATGCACGTCTAATATCTTCGCCAACTCCACGGCGAGTTCGCGGCATCGCAGGCACTGCAGTTCCTCAAACTCATGCAGTGAGACACTCACCTGGGCCTCATTGCGGAGATGCCAGTGGGATCGCAGCAGCGGCCCCAACACCGTCTGTTGGAAGGCGGCCCCACCAAAGACACTCTGGACCATTTCCTCCGGCGTGCGGGACATAAACCGGCCGGCGTGACTTTCATGCAGGCGGAGAGCGCGAGCCCCGCCGAGATCATACGCCCGTCGCTTTTCGGCATTTGAGAGAATTTGATAGGCCTGTGAAATGCGGGCAAAGCGATGACGAGCGGCCTCTTCACTGCAGGCATCATTATTCCCACCATATTTATTATTCTTATTATTATTATTATGATAAGTCTGTTGTTGTTGTTGTTGGTTTTGGGCCACGTCTGGGTGAAAGACTTTGGCGAGTGTTTTGTACTGCGCCTTTACTTGTGCCTGAGTGGCGGATCGCTTTAACTGCAGGACTTCATACGGATCGTCCATCTCCTCCCCTGCAGAGGACTGTTGATAGTGTTTGCCATTCTTATTATTATTATTGTTATTCTTATTATTATTATTATTATTATTATACACTTTATCAAAGGAGAATCCCATACTCATAAGTCGTTGTTTCCATTTCTCCTCTGGCTGCATGTTCTTACGGCGAAACTCCAATCGCCCCACGCCGCGAATGGCCCGCTGCTCTAATCGCAGGGACCGCTGCAGCCACACCGCATCCACAACGGTGCAGTACTGCCAACGGCCCGAACTCGCCTCAAAGAAGAGAGTGCCTGTAAAAGCATTCCAAACACCATAAACACTATTGCATAATCCACGTGGAATGTGAATAAGTGGAGAAAGTAGAAAACCATAAGAGAGAAAAGATAATCCACGTAAAGTCCCAGTTGCCATTCCACGAAAAAGACCAATCATTATCCCATGATCACGTATTCCACGCATGGTCCCAAACAATACACATCCCATCGCATTCTGTACAGCTATAATTATATTCCACAATACTGCATAAAGGGCAAGCCAAATATGACGTTTGGGGATCATATTCATTCGACTGTAATAATTTAATGCGTGAAGTTGTTTCATACGGCGAAGATAATCCAAATCAGCGGTAAGTGTAGCCAATTGATTCTCTTGTGTTTCCGTATGGAATACCGAACGACGAGGATCTAGTAAAGATCGTAATTTCTTATATATTTGCACCAGTGGAGATGAAGATCCCACCGGTCTTTTCCACCCAGACGGTGGATGAGTACTAATCTTCATACTATTCACAGAACTATGCGTAGAATGACTGTTCATATTAGTAGGACCAACACTATTATTATTATTATTATTATTATTATTATTATTATTATTATTACTATTATTATTATTATTATTATTAGGACTCTTCACAGTGGAATGGGTATTATTCTGCAATCCATACATCTGCAGAACTCGTAATATACTTGTTGGTCTTCCTGTGAGTGTAGATGGACGTGTATCCACAACGAGTTGCGGCTTTTCAAACAACACATATGATAATCTTTGCAGTTCCTTGTCAAGCGCATCGGCCTTTTCGGCTAATCTATAGGCAATGGGAAGCATTTCCGCATCTTCACGTGCGGCATCCATTGCACGAAACTCCTCTTCTTCTAGTTCCCGTTGTTGTTGTTTTTCTTCTTCTTCTTTTGTTGTTGTTGTTGTTGATGAACTGGTATGGGGATTTGTGTGCATGTAGAGAAATGGGGATAATGTGGGATTCCACACAGATGCCATGGCACGTAGAGTCTGTGTCTGTGGAGAGAACCGTCGCATACTTACAGTCTTTGTATATAATATGTATGTATGTATACGTATATATATATGTACAGATGTTCTTCTTTTTGATGTTGTTGTGATTATTATTATTATTATTATTTCTCTTTCCTTTTCTGTTTCTTTTTGAGTGAGTTACAAAAGAAACTGTGGCTATTCATAACAAATGATAAGAGGAATAATTAAAGACACCAATATATATATATACATATATATATATATATATAGATAGAGAGATAGAAAGAAAATAATCCTCACAGACGAGATAGAGCTCATGGATTTACACACATAAAGAAAGAAATATATAGATAGATAGATAATTTAATTGCTGTACATTCAACAGCCGCAAGAATAATAATAATCATAACATCACGAAGAGTAAAAACGAGCAAAAAAAAAAAAAAAACGAACAAACAAAGAAGTAAACACACGCATCGCAACTGAAACGATCAACATCACCAAAGGCATTAAATAGTAAAAATCAAGAAACAATTGGAAAAATAAAAGAGCATATATATATAAATAATAATAATAAAAACCATCTCTGATGGACCATCCCAATAATATATATAAATAGAGAATCACACGCATAAATCGATAATCTTAACTATTCCCCATAAAAAAAAAAAAAAAACTAAATAAGACATCACACTATAAAAATAATAATAATAACGACCATAACGACTATAAAAAAAAGTATCATGACGACTTTTTTATTTCTTTTATTTCCTTTTTTTTTTTCTTTTCTTCCTTCCCCTTTCATCCATTCACATTATTAGTCCATTTCTTCCCTCTTGATTGTCCCAAACTCTAATTATACTCCCCACACTGCTTTCTATATATATATATATATATATATATATATATATACAGATAGATAAACAAGAAGGAATAATGATACTGTACGTGAGAAATTGTATATTTTTAAAAAAAAGTAGAGAACACACCAACGCATCAACAAACAAAGAACACTCTAATACTATATCCTTATTATTCTTATTCTTTTTCTTCTTATCTTTTCTCTAATTCTAACATGAACACCCGGACTTTTCCTCACGTTTAGTGCGATTCCCATGAAGAATTCTCCCACTCTCATTATTGCCTTGGCTCTCTGCGGTGTCCTCTGCAGACTCCAAGGCCCCTGTGGCTTTCATCACACATTCCACAAGTGTCATGAAGGCCACATCGACGTTTCTGTTTTCCTTCGCGCTGGTGAGAAACCACGCCTCGAAGCCGTGTTCACTGCAGAAGGCATCCATCTCCTCTTTTGTTTTCTGAATTCCAACATTACTGCCCACTCCCATAGATACATCCCCACTACTACTACTACTATTACTGTTATTATTATTATTATTATTATTATGACTATTACTATTATTAGCACTAGTACTGTTATTCTTCTTCTTCTTATTATTATTATTATTATTATTAACGGAAGTCACCAGCATTCCATTAGGCAAGAGATCCACTTTATTAATCAACAACACACATGGAATGGGTTTCCCCGTGGCGCCGAGAAACACTTTACTGTCCACATCCTGTTTCCACTTCACGGCGAGCTCCAGTGTTTCTGGTCTGGTGATGTCCGCGACGACAATGGCCCCGGCCGCGGCCTGATAATACACCCGCGTCATTTGCCCGTAGCGCTCCTGCCCGGCGATGTCCCACAGCTGCAGTGTGATGCTGCGGTGGGTGGGCGGGTAGACAACATCCTTCAGGGCAAAGTCCACGCCAATGGTGGCCTTATTCGTTGGGAGGAATATACTGTGCACATAGCGGCGGATAAGACACGTCTTGCCAGTCCCACCCTCGCCAATGATGAGGACTTTGAAGAGAAGTTCACCACCCTTCGCGTAGGAAGACATTTTTTCTCTCTTTCTCTCTCTCTCTCAATAACAAAAAAGCAATAGAGATAAATAAATAAATAAATAAATATATATATATATATATATATAGAAAGAGAGANTAAAGAGAAAAGATCTCGCGGCATTGGGCTGCAGTGTACATTCATGGATTACACATACGATCAATGCAGATGAAAAATAATACTAATAAGAATACTAATAATAATACTAATATAAAGCTAATAATATAATAATAATACTAATAATATAATAATAATAATAATAATATAATAATCATGTAAACCCCCCCCCCCCAAAAGAAAAGAAAGTAAGATGACAAATAATAATTATATTAATAATGATAATGTAATCATAGCAAATAATAAGAATAATAAATAAATACTAATACTACTAATAATAAGAATAATGATAATAATAATAATAATAATAATAATAATAATAATAATAAT